CCCGTCGCGCCCGGTGGGTAAATGGTTTCCCCTCCTAGCCGTCTAACCGTAGGCCTGCATACCTAAGCCATGCCATTAACACCGGCCGATTTGCGAATCCGTAATGTGAGAGAGGGGTAGTAGAGCTCTAGCAGCGTCACCTCTCTCTCGTTCACCCCATCCGAGCTCCATTAATTAGGGCACGCACTCGCCCTCCCTCTCTACACCAAAAACACGTGCGCCCGCCGTAGTTCAGCCGGTTGGATCGGCCATAGGGAGATTCTCCATTGCTGAAAAATTGAGGCCTTTAGGGACCCTAGCACGCGTACGACGAACTGAACACGCCTAGGATTAATTGCCTCTGTCGCGCCATGACCGAGCTCGCCGAGAACTAGCTCGGTGCCCCTCCGCTCCGCCGTACCTTGTCGTTGCCGGAGGTGAACCTCCGCCGCGTCGCCCCACCGCGACTGAGCCGTCCCGGCTCGGGCTGGTCGCGCCAACCGCGTGGTGCCGCGCCTGCTCCCTTCGGCTGCGAGCGCGAGGAGGAAGAAGAGAGAATAGAGAGAGAGAGAGAGGTGGGACCCACCCATATATATTAGATGATTAGATCACAGTAATCACCTTACTAGTTGCGGTTACGTTAGACAATGGCACGTGGGTCCGGGTGATTAAAAATCTAACTGACTCAATTAGTATATGTGTGGTGTCAATGATATACGGGACCCACCGGTGATTAAATGGCCGGATTTGACCCTCGGTCAACCAGGGCCGGTCCCATATGACAGTGGCACCACGAATTCTCTGTAGGAAATAAAACCGAGAAAAATCATAGAGGGGGATCCACCTGTCAGGCGCTGTTAATATTGGGCCGGTCGGCCGCATTGAACTCGGTCAAACCCGCACAGTCGCTTTTCACAATTTCCCGCATTATTTCAAATTTGAATCTTTAAACTAGCATAACTCAATCATTTTAACTCCGATTTAAATGAAACTTGGAACTAAATTTATATAAAATCCGGATTTATATTTTGGAACTGCTTTTGCAATTTATTTTGTACTGTATGAATTTTGGCAATTTTATTTGGATTCTAATTGAATTCAAATTAAATCTTTCGCATGTAAAATTAGATTCTAAGGGAGTTGCTGAGTTGCTGACTGAGGATCAGGAACAGAAAGGCTGTGAGCAAGGCAAGTCATCACTATTCTTTGGGCATGTTGAATCTATTGTGAACTTGTGTTATTTCAAATAAAATTACATGCTATAAGAATCTCCTACTTATTATATGCCATACCTTGATTATTTAATACTTGTAATTCCTTTGTACTTTATATGACAAATGCTTAGCGAATGCTAATTTAGATTCATACATCCTCATATCTCTACTATTATAAAAATTTAAGATGTTTTTGCCTAGCGTTTTGTACGTCAATAAATTCCGAGTCGGTGAACATCCTTGGGTATTTTGCCTTGCGTTTTACGTTTCCCTGGAATCAGCTTGCTATCCGATTACGATTAATTTCCATGTTCTTAACTGCGCTCGCGTATGAAATAGCCCTGCCTGGACCAAGCTTCCAACTGGGCAGCCCATGAATTGCTTCTGTCAGGCACAAGTTTGCAGTCCACACAACACAGCCCACGTGCATATGCAAATCTACCTCTTGAGCTAATCTGCTGTTGTCCTCATGTCAGCCCGTGCATGCATGTTGACCAAGTCATTAGGATAAGCACCAATCACCTAGACCAAGCCATTCTCATGTTTATATATATGGGTGGACCCAGCACAATCGTTACTGAGAATTTTTTATATTTAATTATATAAAGATTTTAAAAAATAGATTCCCGATTCAAATTTTTTCCAAAAAATATATTTTCTTCTCTATCTCTATCTCTACTATTATAAAAATTGAAAATGTTTTTGCCGGTATTTTGATACGTCGTCCGTGTATGAGTCGGTTTTTAAGATTGTTCGCTTTTGAAGATACATATCCGTATTTGAGTCTGTTTTTATGTTCGTTCGCTTTTGGAAATACAGAAGGATTCGTATAAAAAATTTCTTTAAAAAACTCGCATGCTAACTTAAGACAATCGAACTCCTAATTGCAGCTCATGATTTTATAAAAAATATATATATCCATGCGAATTCCCACAGTAAATTTCACCTTAACTAAACCGTATAATAATAATAAGATTAAAATGGCCTTCACCCGTTGCAATGCACGGACATTTTTTCTAGTTTATCAAATGCTAAATCCTTGGGCGATTACCTTAGGGAAGGTAATTGACATACGACATGTGGAGACATGAGCGCCACATTGCCATGATATATATTAAGGAGATGATTTGTGAAAGAAAAATAAACTAAACTAATATTTTCGACTAAGTCAGCTGGATGGCTTGGGTGGTTTTCCGGCTAAGGCTAGTGCCGTTCCTATTAAGAACCAAGCCATAAAGCTACGCATGAAACGATCCCAGTACAACCGTACTTCTCGTATGGGGGCATACACATAGCGGAGTAAATAGTTGAGCGGAGGCGGTACCCAAGATGCGGTGGATTCACTTAGGTGTATGAATAGGCGGCGAGCCTACAGGTGGATAACCATCGGTGGGTAACCGAAATAAAGTTGACTTAATTATAATTTAACGAATGTGTGAGTTTCCCTACCGGGAACACCAGAACTCCTCTCATTGCAAGAAATTGTATACGCCTAGAGTGCATGAGGGCTCAAGTTCATGAAACATGTACTGTCAAAGTGAGGTTATTGAAAGGCTTTACCGATGTGTCTCATTCGTTGGTGTAGAATGACTTCCCAAACGTTGTGTAGTCTCTGGACTAATATCTTGTTAAAAAAAGGGTACGAATTTACCATGTCTGCATCATTTTTTTAAAAAAAAAATCGAAATCTCTCATCTGTGTGGTCTCGGGTGCATGTGGCAGCCTTTCTTCACATTTTTGTGTAGCCCAGTGCTTAGGTGCTAAACTTTTCTTCTTTTAGCAGTAGCTACCCAACCTATCCAGAGTGCATCATGATTTTTCCTGGGATTTTTGCATTCCTATAATTTGAACTGAAAATTTCGGGAGTACAGTACCGCTACCTGTTTCAAGACTGCACTGTTCAATTTGTATAGGCAAAATCTTTTTAAAAAAGAAATTTTGGGGAAAAGAATCATGGAAAAAAAAGATTCATCCTACGTATTGTAACATACTCCATAGTAGTAGTAGTAATAAGCACCTAGATACTAAGGTTTATTTTGTTCACAATATCGGTTTATTTTGTTCTTTTTATGCTTCACCTAAGGTTGCTGACTAGTTCTTACTGTTGATACTTCTGTACATGTTCATCAATTGGCAGCCATTGGGGTATTCTGGAGGTTTTGAAGAAGGAACCTTGTCCCACACATTATGGTTTATGTTACAACACCTTGGTCATACCCACTAACTGGAGTACCATTTCTTTTCGGCTGAACGAAGCTCTTCACTTAGAATTTACAAGTCAGAATTATATATCCAAGGGAGATTGTCCCATGAAACAACTCTTTGTTTCCATGGTTATGGATGGGATGCACCCTCAGCCATGCTTGAAGTTGCATATCAAGCTATTGTGTATTTTCGGCACCATAGGTCGGGAATATCTAGGCTTTTTCATTTCTTCCTAGCACGAACAGATAATGCCACCTTTAGTTACTATCCAGGTTTAGAGGGACAATCAGGGGACCTTAACACACCACACCTTCATCTTGCAGGGTACGGTTAGTCCAATCATTTGATAGGTACCTCGCTTTGGCATTAAGTGAACTTGATAGACTTCAAACTAGAGTTGCTACACTTGATAGGCGAGTAGAACCATTGGGTCATCGAGGGTATTTTGATAATGCCTTTATCTATGGGAGCACCATTATGCAACCACTTGCTAAAACACTACCACCTCCTATGGGTATATATCAACACTTTAATCATAGAGCACGCATGAGAGTGAGATATCATCGTAACAATTACACTATGGCTGACCTTGCACTTTTTGGTAATCCGAAGTTACTTGGACCGTCATATATTTATGTGAGGAATTGTCGATACTACCGTCTAACCATGGTGACCCCTACTAATGTAGTACCAAATCCTCCAGCTGGATTTTCGGAAGACACTTAGATCTTGTAATAGGGATCCTCGAACAAATGCAACCCTCCTATAATGCTATATAATATTATTTAAATCTAAACCTTCTGGTAGTCAATTTCTGTAACACCATGTCTTATAGGTGGTTCTATGTGACTACCATCCATCCTTATGTATGCAAACCTATCATAAATCAATATGAAGTTATGTGATCTTTTGTGATTTCCTTTTCACCAACAAAAACTATGTCTATCAAATTACAAAGTAACAGTTCAAGTTCATGAAAAAATTTAAGAAACATAATTTGAATCAAGTTTCTCCTAGTAGATTAAACTTTCACGAAAATATAAGCACTAATAACTAGTACCTCCATATTTTTAATGTATGACACCGTTGAACGTTTGACCATTCGTCTTATTCAAAAATTTTATGCAATTATCATTTATTTTATTATGACTTGATTTTTCATCAAATGTTCTTTAAGCATGACATAAATATTTTCATATTTTCACAAAAAATTTAAATAAAATGAATAATCAAACATTGGTTAAAAAGTTAACAGCGTCATACGTTAAAATACGGAGGGAGTAATTGACACACCAGCAAAGTCTCTAGCCAACGAGTCGTACTAGTTTAACGGAAAAACGAACCTTAAACGTTAAATCCTTAAACGACTGCGTTTGATCGTTGCCGTTAAAGCCTTAAACGTTAGTTTTTCTGGCATGTGGAATGAGACAGATGGTTAACGCATGATTAATCTAATATTAATTATTATAAACTTTAAAAAATAAACTTATTTGATTTTTTAAAGAACTTACATATGATTAGTTTTTTTTAAAAAAAACACTGTTTAGCCGTTCAAAAAGTGAGTCGACGAAAACAAGTAAGTTATAATATTGCGCTGGAGGATAGAACGGGCCTAGTGCAAATTTGTCTCTCGTCCCAACCAGTAATCAACACGTTACAACCACGTTATCTTGGAAAAGGAAAAAAAGATTCCACTAAATCATCTGCACAGTAGAAAAGCACATCAACTGAGGTCCGTCTGAGGAAAGAAAGATACAACTCCTGTTACAGAATTGGCGACAAATACGAAGATATAGTAACAAATCGATCGATGGATCACTAGTGCGACAGGGTGTCGGCGATGCCGTTCGAGAGGCAGTAGGCGATGGACTGAATGGTGATCATCGGGTTCACGCCCACCGCCGTCGGGAGCAGGCTGCCGTCGCAGACGTAGAGCCCCTCGGCCTCCCAGCTCTCGCCGGCGCCGTCGACGGCGCCGTCGCGTGGGCTCGCGCCCATCCGGCAGCTGCCCATCTGGTGGGCCGAGCAGAAGATGGCCCACTTGTCGGAACCCGGGTACATGGGGCCCTTCTCGATGGTCACCTCGTCGAGGAACGCCTCCACGTCCGCGTCGCGCACGCCCTTGCACCGGAGGCGGAGCCCGTCGCTGCGGTGGGTGCCCACCTCGGCGGCGCCGGCGGCCACCAGGATGCGCAGCGCGCGGCGGAGGCCGGCGCGGAGCTCCTCGGCGTCGTCGCGGCTCGGGGAGAAGCGGACGCGGCCCTCGCCGTCGACGGCGCCGGCGCCGCGGTCGCGCACCAGCGCGAACGCGTGCGCCGTGCGCGCGTACCGGCGCATCCGCTCCTTCATGTCGCGGCCGGACTCCCACGGCACCACGGCGGAGAACGCGCCCGGGCCGAGCGCCGGCGTCTCGATGATGGTGCGGTCGGTGACGCGGTGCATGCTGGTGATGATGCCGCCCTCGTAGCACTTGCCCGGGAGCTCCGCCGTGCTGTCCGGGAAGTAGCCCCACGCCATGGACACCGGGTGGAGGTGAAGGTTCCGGCCGATGTGGCGGTTCTTGAGCCCGCTGTTTCGCAGCAGCGGCGGCGTCATGAGCGCGCCGCACGCAGAGATGGACACCTTCGCCTCGATGCGGAGCTTCTTGGTGATGCCGCTGCTCGTGCACGTCGCCATCAGGCCGACGCACCTCTTGCTCCGGCCGCCCCTCCCGCCGGCGTTCCTCTCGAGGATGAAGTGCTCGGCCTTGCACCCGGTCAGGATGACCGCGCCGCGCTCGACGGCGTCGACGAGCCACGTCGTGTCGGTGCCCTTCTTGTCCCCCGTGGGGCACCCGAGGTTGCAGCTGCCGCAGAAGTGCCCCTCCGACGAGTTGCGCGGCACGGCGTCGGCGCGCATCCCGAGCGCGTCGCAGCCGCGGCGGAGCACCCTGTTCTGGAACCCCTCCTCCTCGCACCCGCCGGTCACCCTGATCCGATCGCACACCGCGTCCATGGCCTGCGCGTACGCCGTGCTCGCGAACACCGGCAGCCCGTGCTCGCGCGACCACTCCTCCCTGATCTCCGCCGGCGTGCGGATGCACGCCGACCAGTTCACCGCCGAGCCGCCGCCGACCGTGGCGCCGGTGAACAGTATGGTCGTGACGTTGGACGTGCCGAACACGCCGCCCTTCTCGTAGAGCCGCTCCATGGACGGGCCCTCGAGGGAGGTGTAATCCTCCGTGGCGAAGTAGTCCCCCTTCTCGACGACGACCACCTTGTACCCCTTCGACGCGAGCACGGCGGCGGCCACGCCGCCGCCGCAGCCGGACCCGACGACCACGGCGTCGCACTGCACCGTGTGGTGCGCGGCCGTTCCCGTCTTCACGGCGAGGCCCTTCTCCACGAGCGACCTGAGCAGGGCGTTGTCGTCCATCCGCCTCGTCTCCACCACGCCATCCTCGAGCGGCCGCCGCGACGGCGACGCCGGTCTGCGTTGCTCCACCGCGGCGGCGGCGGCGGCAGGCGCGGCGTACCCGATCGCCTTCCAGCTTGGGTTCCTCGATTTCTCGTCCAGCTGCATCCAAACCGGGTTACACTCAAATTAAACGAATTATAAAAAATGAGAAATTTTATGATCATTGAGAAAACCTCTAGATATCTAAATTCTAGATATCTAAATTTTACGTTAAAGTTTTTGTAACCTCAAAATACTACTTGAAAGTATTAAATTTTACAATAGAAAATACAATATATTTTCAAGAATGGTACTGAAATCTACAAAATTCATAACCCAAAGTAGAATTTGTCCAGACTCCTTTTTACTTTTTTGAGTGGGAATTTGTCCAAATTCGAATCAATGATTGGAGTGCTGGACCGGACAAGACGGTCGTGGTCCAAAGGCCTAACTAGAACCAAACAGTGGCCGGGCCGGGCTGGAATCTGGGTTGAATTCCTCACAGTGCACACTGTGAGAGTAGAATCTCTCTGCTCACAACCAGTAAGAGGAGGTCCCGGCACAGCTAGCCGGCGGCGGCGCGACGCGGGCGTCGCATCGGCCAGCCTGAACAACGACGTGACAGGTAGAGGTCGCCGCGCACAGTGGCCGGGATGTCGCGACCTTGCAACCGCCGCCATTGCCGCCGGCCAGCGAACTTTACTAGTCCGTGTACTTACCCCGGCATGTGTTGTTGGGCTAGCTGCTTTCTGCTTGCCGCCGCATGCGTCCAGTTTCGTAGCTAGTGGTATACTTTATGCGTAAGGTATAAATGGCTAACCGGCCGCAAAATCCTAAAATAAACCCGAACTTATTTCTCATGTTTCCGATGGATCATGCCGCTAGATTCACCTGCTCGCTCTTAATACAGCTTTTCTAACAAGACGGCTTAGATTGTTTTCCGTCTTTTGTTCTATCAACTACCATTGATGTTCTTCCCTATGGCCGAGGCAATATCGCCATCTCTTCGCAGCCTATGCATCCTTTTAAGTCCATATTTTCGTGCACCACAACTCCATCACATCTATCCAATCACGGATTAGAATCCTCTGCAGTCGAAGTCACGTGACATGTGAGCCCGATGATCCCTGGACCCATATGTTAGTGACAAATGCACCGTGTATTTGACTGCAGAGGATCTCAATCCTCCAATCGCACATGCTCTGGTACCATTTATAGGTTCTCTCTACAACCTCTCTTGGTGGCACATAGTTGTCTTTTCAAATCCATAATAATGGCCCAAAAAATACCAAAATTGTACAGCTATAGAATCACACCAATAACTTTATGTTGTCAAATATAAGCAATCCTATGATTTAAATTCTCTATACAATATAAACATTTTTATGATACCGATTCAAATGCACAGAAATTCAAGCATTTTCAGCCAATCAGGTGATTAGAAGGGGAATCTAAACAATTCAAAATTCCCAATTTAACCAATAAGATAATTGAAAAGGATTTTTTTCATTATTTTTAATCTTTGCTAAATAAACTAGAAATGTTTATATTTAGGAATGGAGAGAGTAATTGATCTCTTCGCATATCCTAATGCTATTTGTTTGTCCAGATGCAGAAAATTAATGCCATTAATCAAAGCAAAAATATGTGACGGGACCATAGCCATCTACACAAGATTCCCAATAAAACAGCAGCGCTAGCGACATGATTTCGGCTGGAGAACGTCCTTTTTAGATGAGAACGAACCATGACTCTGAGCTTCCAAAAGGGACCTCTAGCAGCAGAAGAAGACACAGTTGAGAAAGTATTATTGCCAAAATGCATGTCTTTATGCTAACAATGTGAAAGAGACCTACACGCTCTCAAGCTAAGATTTGCAAAGGTTCAAGCAGCAATGGCAACTCATCCAGTTTAAGCATCAAACCGGGAAAATATCATTAGGAAAAACTATACACTAGTTGTAAAGAAAAAACTATACACTGTTAGCAAAAAGTAAAAATAAATAAATTTTCAGTTAGGCCTCCAATTCTAAGCATTTTTTTAATAAAAGATTGATAGTATTTTTTTGGGGAAAGTATGTTCCTCCTAAAATATATTGTTGTTTTTACAATCTAAATATAAATTGTTGATTTATTTTGGGATGAATAGAGTATCCAATATCAAACATACACTCTCTCCATCTATTTACAAGATTTCCCCGTTCAAAATAAATAAATCTAATAAATCATATTTCATATCAATTTTATCTATCTAATGTACTATCAAAATTTTAAGATGAATGGAGTACCTATAAATTTATTCTAAGATCACGCAATAACTACGGAAGAATAGGAGAAATCTGGCAAGACCAGACATTCATTATTCATAGTCAGAATGTCAGATTGTTTTTTTCTCTTCACGTGACATGTTGGGGTTGACTGCCAATATTAAATTAACAACAACAACAAAAGAAAAAAAGAAAAATCAAACCAGATAATTCAGCGTGCGCTGTGCGTGCTTACCTTGGTGTAGAAGACGAAGTGGCAGATGATCTTGATGACGGTGAAGGTGATCTTGAGCGGGAACAGCCACCGCGCCGAGCTCCACCGCCTCAGCGCCGCCTCCCGCCGCTCCGGCGGCAGGTCGGCGAACCTGCGCACGGACGGGAGCCACCCGCCGGCGGCGGAGGAGGCGACGCACGCGGCGGCGCCGCACAGCGCGAGCGTGCCGGCCCTGGTGGCGAGCAGCCAGAGCACGACGGTGACCAGCGCCACCGCCTCCCACGCGCACCGGTTCACCATCAGCTCCGCCACCTCGTCGGGGACGGCGGCGTCGGCGGCGGACGCGAGGTAGAACCGCTCGAGGTCCTTGTCGCCGCCGCCGCGGCCCTCGTCGTCCGCCTCCGCCAGCGCCGCCGCCGCCTCGGGCAGCGACGGGATGAACGCGCCGCAGATGGCGCGGAGCGCCTCCATCTGCGCGGCCCCCAGCCCGTGCGTGTACCGCTCCCGCCTCTCCCCGCCCCTCAGCAGCGGGTGCCCCCTCGCCGCCTCCGCCGCCGCCGCCGCCATTTCTGCCGAGCTCGAGCTCTCTCTCTCTCCGGTGGCTTCGTGTGAGCGAGTGAGCTGTGTGTGTGTGTGCGCACATGTGTTTTGGGTCGCACGTGAGTATATATAGAAGGTCGTGTCAATATATTGTGGTTATTTTTTCTGAGAGAAAAGAATAATTATACTAGTATTTAGTTGTATTTAAGACTCAGCAACCCAACTCTGTTTCTGTCTGTGTGTGTGATGACGAATTTTGGGTCTCGTGAGAGGACAGACTACAGAGAGATGGTGCGATGCTGTTGCCGAACAGAAGAGTGCAGCATTGAAAAGACTACGACGTTGGAAGAAGAAGTACTCTCTCGTTGGTTATCCGTAATGTTACGTTTGAACATTCGTCTTATTTATAAAATTTATAAAAAATAGAAAAAGTCACACAATAAAATATTATTTATGTTTTATAATCTAATAATAACAAAAATACTAATTATAAAAAATAAATAAAATGAACGGTCTTAAACGTTAGAGATAAATAGTGCAAAGAAACGGAAGGAGTAAGTTCCTTTTCCTCCACCAATCATCAAATATATACTATCTTCTTATCTTTTCTAGGTCCACGGATAGATAAATTTCATTCATTCAATACTCTTACCAAACTCTTATTAAAAATTATTATATTTTAAGATGAATGGATTATCTTTTAATGAGATACGCCTTATTCTCTCTATGTTTTTCCACACCCATGATAAAATAAATATATTTATTTTAGGATGGATGGAATATTAACAAACTTACAAACATTGCAAAGGACATGAGCTGACAAATATTTAAATTATAGGGATTTAGGGAGTTTTTATTTGAGCACTGCAACACGTACTAAATTTTTAGGTAGTACCAAATTTGTACTAACAATCATTTTAACCGTTTCATTTATTTAGATGAAAGTTATAAAAAAATTTATATGCACTCATAGAATGGCACATCAGTGTAACACAATAATTTATAGTAAGAAAAAGTTAGGCTCTAGAAAATTTTTTTATTTCGTCCAAAAAATTATGGCCGAATTAGGGGCCTACTGGAGTTAACATAGGTCATATCCATTCCCAATCAACTCGGACTCTCGTAATAATAGAGAACAGCATTTTGATCAACTATATTCTTTTGTATTCTTTTTCATTTAAGAAAAGCATGTGTGTTCGCCCTGATTGCGCCCGTACATCCAATTCCACTGTTTGGTGGTTCACAAAGCGGCATAACGTCTAATGAAGTCTTTTGGAGCAGACAAAAGACTGAACGAGAATCTAACGCAAATTTGTTTATGGGGCCATACATGAGTTCTGGCATAAAAAAAATGTGTAATTAATATGATACGTACAAGAACAACAGCTTCTCTGTTTGTAACTGTTCCGATTGCACCCATAACCACTATCCAACTACCCAGTTAAACTAACTTTTTTATAATTTGTGGTTGATGATCACAGTCTGAGGTCAGCCATAAACAGTACATCTAGTAGGTTTCAGTCCACTTCAGTTCCACATATTTCCCTCGGTATCATATTATAAGTTTTGTGATTTTTTTTCTTAGTTAAACTTGTTTAGATTTAACCAAATTTATAGAAAAATATAGTAATATTTTCAATACAAAGCAAACATATTAAAAAAATATTTAATATTAAATTTAATAAAACTAATTTAGTATTATAGATATTGCTAATTTTTCGATAGAGTTGACCAAATCTAAAGGATATTTTGATTAAAAAAAGTTAAATAATTTATAATTAATATGAAGCAGAGGGAGTTCTGTACTGGCTAGTTACTCTACCCTTGTTACTCGGCGTTTCTGGCAGTAGAGGCTGAAATGTAAAATATTTCTATTATCCATAACAGTTGTTGTACCCTGTTGCTATACTGATGTGTTGTCATATTTGGATTTGCCACCCTAATTAGTTATTAATTAAGATTTTTAAGGACTTAATTGACACTTAGATGTGCCATTGCCATTGCCATTTGCCAATGTGAGAAAACCTTGAGGTGTGTGTAACCTCTCCGATTTGCACCCATAACCACTAACCAGCTACATAGCAGTTAGTCATTCATGCTTTGAAGTTTGTGGGTGACGAACTTAATTTGAGTTCAACCAACAATGTATTATTGTCGTCTCATCTACTCGACATGTCCGGAATTTGGTATATATCCCTCGATTTGGAATAATCCATCGGGCTCATCTTTTCACTTATGCTTATGATTAGCCAAAATTTAAATTTTAAACCTTAAATTTATAGTTGATTTTAGGTTTTTTTTATCAAAATTTATTTTGCAGCCTTTGCTTTTAGAACACTAAGGACACATATATATAAAAATTTTTATTCACAAATTATTTTCCGTTTGCAAATATGCCAAAACAATGGGCCGTATATCTATCTATTTATTTTATTATATTATTAAAACAACCTTGAAATTTTTATAGGTTTGATGGTGTATCTACTGGTGCTAAGTGTAACCTATTTCAAGGGGACATGGTATAAATTGAAAGTGTGTGCTAAACCTGGTATAAAGTGAAATTAGGTGCGTTTTACCTTGTGTAAAGTGCAATTTACTCGTAAAAATCCTCTCTAAGGCCTTGTTTGGATTCTCCGAGCTATTAAATAGCCCTCCGGAATCTTGCTATTTAGGAGTATTATACGTAGATTACCGACAAAAGCGATTCCATAACCCCTAGACTATTTTGCGAGACGAATCTAACGATGTATATTAATCCATGATTAGTGGCTGATTACTGTAGCATCACTGTAGCAAATCATAGATTAATATACCTCGTTAGATTCGTCTCGCAAAATAGCCTAGGGGTTATGGAATGGGTTTTGTCAGTAATCTACGTTTAATACTCCTAAATAGCAAGATTACGGAGGGCTATTAAATAGCCCTCCGGATCCAAACATGGCCTAAGACTCTAAAACTTTACCATCTCTTGATTTCTTTGAGATAAACAACTAATCGCCTAACTTTGTTGCAGCACCATGGTTTGCACCATGGTTTGCAAATAAGTAAACTTTTTTTAACATAAAAAATGCCATTTATGTGTGTTTATGTTTTTAGAATATCAACGGGTAAAAAAGTGGTAGTCACTAGTCAGTATGCGTTGCTATTGAAACTAGATAGATGTCATTTTTGTGTAGATGTAGCGGACAACCCATCATGATCATGTAGATAGGTATACATCATCGAAATAACGATCGATGGACTATTGCGATCACTGTTCAAACAACAGCCAATCCCCAAAATAAATACTTGCATGTCCCCACATGCCTTTTTATATAATGATCCTTTTTAGAAAAAAAAACTAATTGTAAATATACCCTAAGCAAAATTTATTTTAGAAATAAACATAACCCTCGGTGCCAAAACCATTGACACCAACACCCAAAGTTCTTGAGCCTGCATACATACATTCCCCCGATTAACCCTACATTTGCTTATGGGATGTTGTCTTCGTTTGTCCATAAGAATTTTCTTCTGTTTTGTCAAAACTTTGGGGATCCTCGGGGCGGTTAGACGATGGATGTGCAAAAGCTGTAAGTATAGATGGCCAAAAGGCCCGAGGCCCGACGGCCTGGCCCATGGCACGGCGTTTAGGCCTGGCCCAAGCACGGCACGGCCCGTCAAGGGTCGGGCCTGTGCCGGCCCGGCCCGACCACCGGGTCGTGCCTGGGCCTTTCCGCCGGCACGGCACGATGGGTTGCATGCCAGGCCCGACACATAAACAATAGGGAGTAAAAATAGATATATTATATGCCACGGTCGAAAGAATAGGGACGTAAAATAGACTTATTTTACCTATATATATGTCACAGCCCAAAGAGGAGGGACGAAAAATAGACTTATTTTCACTATATATATGTCACAGCCCAAAGTGGAGGGACGGAAAATAGACTTATTTTCGCTATATTGCGTCACAGCCCAAAGAGGAGGGATGAAAAATAGACTTATTTAAACAAAAGGCACGATGGGCTACCCGCGCCTTCGGGCCGGCCCGGTACGGCCCGACGGCTGGTGGGCCGTGTCTGGGCGGGAGGCGCAGCCCATGGGCCGGCACAGCCCGGCACGAAGTGTCGATCGGGCCGTGCTGGCCTGATGGCTGGTGGGCCGTGCCTGGGCCGGGCCGTGCCGGGCGGGCCTTTTGGCCATCTATAGCTGTAAGGAGAAGGGTTTAAAATTCCAGAACGAAATTTCGGTCATATCGGACCCCCCGGACACAAATGATATTATTTCGGCCAAAGTTTTTAATTTTTTAAATTTTTGGCAATATTTTGTTCAAGTTTAACTAAAATTTGTTTAAAATTTTGGTATATCGGCCAAAACATTAAACCTTGGTAAGGGATAATTTTACAAGCGTTGCTCGTTCAGCTGAGTTGATGAACTTGCCTTGTTAATGAGGCAGCCGAGCAAATGCTTTATCCACCGGTGGTTGGAAATGCAATTTTCGAAGTTCCGATAGTGACCGTGGTAACTACAAGTATTTCATTGGAAAGGTTGGGTTAATACGGGCAGACATTTCAGCTTCTCATTCCGGCCATTTGAACCTTTACCATATTTATCTTGAGGCCCATGTCGTCTCTGAAAGACTCTAAACAGATCTCTAAATCCCTTAGAATTATTTTCCCATATGAATCATCTGCTGAAATATGCTCGTGATTTATCATCACTATTACAGTTGATTAACAAGCAGGGACATTGCAAATTTGCAATTTATGCATGAACAAAAGAGGAAAAAGATTTTACTAGCGCTGCTCCTTGCCGTGTGCCATCGAGTCGGCTATGCCCTTGGCGACGCAGTAGGCGATGGACTGTATGGTGATCATCGGGTTCACGCCCACCGCCGTCGGGAGCAGGCTGCCGTCGCAGACGTAGAGCCCCTCCGCCTCCCAGCTCTCGCCGGCGACGTCGACGGCGCCGTCGCGGGGGCTCGCGCCCATCCGGCAGCTCCCCATCTGGTGCGCCGAGCAGAGCACCGACCACTTGTCCGTCGTCGAGTGCATCGGCCCCTTCTCCACGGTCACCTCGTCGAGGAACGCCTCCACGTCCGCGTCGCGCGCGCCCTTGCATCGGAGGCGGGCCCCGTCGCTGCGGTGCGTGCCCACCTCGGCGGCGCCGGCGGCCACCAGGATGCGCAGCGCGCGGCGGAGGCCGGCGCGGAGCTCCTCGGCGTCGTCGCGGCTCGGGGCGTAGCGGACGCGGCCCTCGCCGTCGACGGACCCGGCGCCGCGGTCGCGCACCAGCGCGAACGCGTGCGCCGTGCGCGCGTACCGGCGCATCCGCTCCTTCATGTCGCGGCCGGACTCCCAGGGCACCAGGGCGGCGAAGGCGCCCGGGCCGAGCGCTGGCGTCTCGATGATGGTGCGCTCCGTGACGCGGTGCATGCTGGTGATGATGCCGCCCTCGTAGCACTTCCCCGGGATGTGCGGCTCCGGCGTGTTGTCCGGGAAGTAGCCCCACGCCATGGACACCGGGTGGAGGTGCAGGTTCCGGCCGATGTGGCGGTTCTTGAGCCCGCTGTTGCGCAGCAGCGGCGGCGTCATGAGCGCGCCGCTCGCCGAGATGGACACCTTCGCCTCGACGCGGAGCTTCTTGGTGATGCCGTTGCTCATGCACGTCGCCACCAGGCCGACGCACCTCTTGCTCCGGCCGCCGCCACCGCCGTTGCTCTCGACGATGAAGTGTTCGGCCTTGCACCCGGTCAGGATGACCGCACCGCGCTCGACGGCGTCGACGAGCCACGTCGTGTCGGTGCCCTTCTTGTCGCCGGTGGGGCACCCGAAGTTGCAGCTGCCGCAGAAGTGCCCCTCCGACGAGTTGCGCGGCACGGCGTCGGCGCGCAGCCCGAGCGCGTCGCACCCGCGGCGCACCACCTTGTTCTGGAACCCTTCCTCCCGGCACGCGTCGGTCACACCGAGGCGCTCGCACACCGCGTCCATGGCCCGCGCGTACCCGGGGCTCGCGAACACCGCCAGCCCGTGCTCGCGCGACCACTCCTGCATCACGCCCGCCGGCGTGCGGATGCTCGCCGACCAGTTCACCGCCGACCCGCCGCCGACCGTCGCGCCGGTGAATATCATCGTCGTGACGTTGGACGTGCAGAAGACGCCGCCCCTCTCGAAGAGGCGCTCCATGGACGGGCCCTCGATCGAGCTGTAATCCTCCTTGGTGAAGTAGTCGCCCTTCTCGACGACGACCACCTTGTACCCGGCGGACGCGAGCACCGCGGCGGCCACGCCGCCGCCGCAGCCGGAGCCGACGATGACGGCGTCGCACCGCACCGTGTGGTGCTCGTCCGACGCGCCGGGCCTCACGGCGAGGCCCTTCGCCGCGAGCGACCGGAGGAGGGTGGTGTCCGTCAGCGCCCTCGTCTCCACGACGCCGTTGTCCAGTGGCCGCCGCGATACCGGCGATGGCGACGGCGACGGCATCGACTCTGCTCGATCACGTCGGGGCTCTTCCACTCTGTATCCTATTGCTTTCCAGTATGGATTCTCCGAGTTCTCGTTCACCTGCATGATGGACAAAGGAAATTTGCAAGTTACAGAAATGATCGTTTGATTTGCAGATACATTTGTTCTTTGATCATTCATTCAGATATTAATCGGTCTTTTTTTTTGTTATTAATTTAGAGTTTGCACAGTTGTTTCATTAAGGAAGAAGTATTTTCTCTGTTTCACATTATAAGATATTATTCTCTCCGTCTCAAAATATAAGAATCTAGAACCGGATGGGACATTTCCGGTCTTTAAGTTCCTAATATCCCTTATGGTCTTTAAGTTCTTATATTTTGGGACGGAGGGAGTAGTTAGTACTCCTACAAGACGACTTATAATGTGAAATGGAGAGAGTACTAACGTAGTGTGTAAATTTGTTTAATCACACAAATTACCATGCTTGCACTTTCAACCATGTTTGGCAATGCTACGGACTATAATCAGGAGCTGATTTTGAATTTCAGAATTTTATATTTGATCAATTTCAGAGTTTTTGCCACTATCATTACTTAACTCTCCTTTTATGATTGTTAATGATAAAAACTAAAAATATTCACAAAATATAATTTTCAAAAGAATCATCTTCAAAACTTAAAATTGCTCTGTATTATTATCTTCATCTCAAACAATAAGATAAGGGCTCCGTTGGAAGTTGGAACAAAGGAAAAGTAAAGAAATTTTGGGTGATTCAAATCCATTGAACTTGTTTTCCTAGATGGTCCTTTGGAATATACAAATTTGCTTCGCTAAAATCCTTTGAAATTCGGAATTGCTCATAGGAATTTTAGAGGAAAACTAACATCAGGTCCCTCATCCTTGTGACATAAAGGGCCCGTTCTTTTTTCCGTCAAGAGTTGGATTAACATTAAGATTTTCGTGGCACATTTTTCAAACTGCTAAATGGTGCATTTCGTACGAAAACTTTTTATATGAAAGCTGCTCTAAAATATCATATTAATCTATTTTTTAAAGTTTGTAATAATTAAAACTTAATCAATCATACGTTAATATCATATCGTTTTATGTAAAAAAAACTTAATCTTTCATGTTCAGAAGAAAAGACACCACCAAAGTTCCATTGATTTTTCAATGGTGCTAGCAAACAATACTTTTTTGTAAAATCCTATGAATGTATTTTCGGTAGGATTTATAAGATTCGTTGTAGCATGACATCATATTCCTCTGATTTTCTCATTCTTGTATTTTCATAATCATGCGTTTCAAAAAGAGTCCTTAGGACATTCACGGTGCGCCACACAAATTTGTCGCGCCTCCCCTTGCCACGTAGACCCAAACACACCAAAGAAGCATACTAGCCACTTGCTCCACAGCACATCCTACTTTATTGTGGGTCCCACCAGTGTTCTTCTCTCACTTTTCAACTGCCTTTCTCTCTCCTTCCTCTCACTTCTCGACTTCTCACAATCTCATCTCTTCTGAGACCGACCGGGACCGAGCGGCGTCAGGCGGCAGCGGGGTGGCCCACGCGACGACGGCGGCGAAGCGGCCCGCGCGACGACGGCCGCGGGGCGGCCCGCACGGCGACGGCGGGGCGGCTCGCGCGGCAACGGCGGTGGGTGTAGGGGCCGCTCGAGTGCCAACGGCGCCGGGCGGCGGCGCGTCCCGAGCACCGACGGCGCCGGCTCCGAATCGACGACGAGCTCCGGATTGAGGACATGCGCGGCGTCGGCTCTTCCCCCTCCGGCGTCCCCTCCCCGCCTCCGGCCTGTCCCTCCGGCGTCCCCTCCCCGCCTCCGGCCTCTCTCTCCACCGAGCTCTCCAGATCCAGCCCATGGCTCGTCGGATCTGGACTGCCGAGGCGGCAATGGGGAAGGTGGCGGCGGCTCGACGACAGCTCCATGGTAGGCCCGCGGCGGAGAGGAGAACGACGAGCAACGAGGTTCCCTCTCCGACGAGGAGCTCTCTCCAGCGTCGCACGGGGCCACGAAGCGTGAGGCCACGACCCGCACAGTGCGGCCGCGTCGTTCTTCCCCGCGTCGATGGCAGCTTTTCTGATGAGGTTCGTGTGTCCAATTTTGGCTACGAAGCTCTTTTGGTCACGCTGCAAGCCAAGTTGGCAAGGAATCTTGGGTTTGCCACGGGTTGGCCGAATGCCGCGCACGCGGACTGTGAATGCCCTTACAAACCCGACCCTAGTTACCATCACGTTAGAAGATCACATCACTAGTACCAGTAGTACCCTGTTTGAGTTGATTGAACTGGGGGGGCAGAGGTGCTTTCACAAAAGCAGAAGACGTTTCAGGTTTTCCTAATGAACCTAGTCACCACCACGACAAGATCGACTTTGATTTCGCACATTTTTGAAGCAAAAGCAGCTCAAAACCTGGACGCGGGTGATTGACAGAAAGACAGCCATGTCCTACCCGTGAATTTGCGATTGTCTGAAAGTCTAACCACCCAAATGTTCAGTCGATTCACAAATCCCCAACCACTGTCCTATACTATACACAAGATGACAAGAAACGCCTCCTTAATCAGTTTTTGGCGACAACAGAGGCTTAATTAGTTTGCAGACAACCCAGTGATCGTCGCCTGTGAGGCTGTGAGAGTCAGATGATAGAGTACAGCTGGAAAATCTCTTCTATTAACAGATAAGCATGGAACGAGTGTGAGTTTTAGTGGTAGAAAATCAAACAAATTTCGCACCTTAGCCCTGCAGTGGCAACAAACAGCAGATGGTTTCTAATTAAAATATTGATTTTATTTTGGTTTTCACTAGTACATATAAGTTGCTTTAAAATATTAAATAAAACTATATTTTAAGTTTGTAACAATTAAAATTAATTAATTATGTGCTAATGGTTTTCTCATTTTTTATATGCTAACTATCTCAATAAGGCCTTGTTTAGTTCCAATTTTTTTTTCAAACTTCCAGCTTTTCATCACATCAAACCTTTCACACACACAACTTTTCTATCGCATTGCACCAATTTCAACCAAACTTTCAAATTCAGCCTAAGGTTTGAACCGGACCAAGAGAGATATCTCTTACTAAATTTGTGTGAGAGTTGTGTCATGTGTGAATTCTTGGCGCATGAGGATGTTTTCTTCACTCCTGCTGATGCAGGTCCATTCTCAGTGACTGAGCTGTCATATTAATTCCAACCATCTAATCCTCTGAATAGGCAGTAAGTACGGCATTTTTTGCACCATATATACACACGACCAAGTAGCAGTACGCAGTAGGACCAAACAGCCATTCAGTGCTGTTTTTACAGCCTCACCAGTCATGTTGCCAGTGCCCACTGGAATGTAATCCAATCCATCCAGGTTGGGACCGTGGAATGTAAATTTTCTAGAGCCCGAAGAAAATATGTATCTTAATTGGAGGGGACGTTACTCGATTGTATACATCTTAATTGGATTCAAACGGAGATTTAGGCTGATACGAGTATCTGAATTTGAACAAATGCAGAATACGCATATGCTGAAAACAGACGAATTATAAATAAAAAATTCTCTAAACCGGTTCCTAGGTAGCTCCAAGAACAAGAAGTCTACGGTGCAGCTGCTGCGAGTGACTGGCTGGTGTTTGTACTGTTGTTCAGGGTTTGAAATTTTGGTGATTTCACCCCCCACCAGCATGCTCAAATCTCGTCCGAAATTTTTGGTTTTTTGCAACTTTTTGTGAATTTGATCAAATTTTATTCAAATTCATTCAAAATAGTCAAAATTTCAAATAATTTTGGCAAAAAAAACGAAATTACTGATATTTCCGAAATTTCAGTAATTCCAGTCCCCCCTTGCCAAAAAATCCAATTTCGAAATTAAAAACCCTGCTGTTGTTTGTTAACATGGTGCACCTGCGTGCTTCGGTGTAGGACTGTTGTATACTTGTATGGAAATTCGATCTCTGCTAAATTTTGACGATAATTGATCGATTTCTTACAGAATTTTAGATTTGTCAGATTTTTATGTGGTTGAAATTTGAAAAGCACGGGGTATGTGATGCCGTGCTGCTGCATGGTGATTCTGATTCGTGAGTCGGTCGAGAGGAGGAGGAGGAGGAGGAAGAGGAGACGTACGTACCATGGAGTAGAAGACGTAGTGGCAGAGGATCTTGGCGATGGCGAAGGCGATGCGGAGCGGGAAGAAGAGCCACCGCGCGCCGCTCCACCGCCACAGCGCCGCCTCCCGCCTCGCCGCCGGCATGTCGGCGAAGCGGCGCACGGACACGAACGGGAACCCGCCGCCGTCGACGGCGGCGACGCTGTCCCGGCCGCACAGCAGCAGCGTGCCCGCCCGCGTGCTCAGCGCCCACAGCACCACCCACGTCAGCGCCACCGCCTCCCATATGCAACGCGTCACCAGCAGCTCCGCCACCTGCACGCCACGCCACGCCGCGGTCGCCGCGGCCGCCGCCAGATTAGAGATTATAAACAAGAAAGAACTCGCGCGCATGGGGTGTTCGACCGATCGACCGACCGACCGACCTCGTCGGGGATGGAGGAGTCGGCGGCGGAGGCGAGGTAGAACCGCTCGAGGTCCTTGTCGCCGGGGCGGCGCCCGCCGTCGCCGCCGTCCGCGTCCACGGGCAGCGACGGGATGAGCGCGCCGCACATGGCGCGCAGCGCCTCCATCTGCGCGGGGTGCATCCCGTGCGCGTACTTCCTCCCCCGCCTCGCCCCTCCCCTCAGCAGCGGGTGCGGCGCCATTGCCGCCGACGACGAAGCTAAGAGTATCTCGCGCAGAGACGACAGCGATGTCGACGACGGTGCGTGCAGCGTGCGTGCGTGTCCGTGCGCGGCGCGCGAGGGTATATATAGAGAGAGGAGGAGCTGAGGCTGAGCTGAGCTGAGCTCGCGGCGCGCGCGCGCGCGCGATCTGGGCGGCGTGCGTGCGTTGGCGCGATCGGGTGGTGACGAGAGGAGGAAGAGTAGATGGGAGTGTGCGTGGCATTAATCCGCGTCTCTGCTGCGGCTGTGTCCGTCCCTATTCAATACGGCTCACCAAACAATATATATCCACGGAGAGATGACATATGAGACGAGCCGAGATTCACGAGCGCTAGCGTTCCGTAGCAGCCATGGAGGCTAGCTCGTTCGTATTCCTTTCTCCGTTTTATGTTATAAGATAAGATTTTCTAGCATTGCCTATATTCGTAAAGATGTTAATGAATCTAAATATTCATATATGTCTAGATTTATTAACATCTATATGAATATAGACAATGCTAAAAGATTTTATAAGTAGTAATAATATATTCCATCCGTCAAAAAAAAAAAAACTTAACCTGATCCCTTCTAAAACAATAAATGTGGATCATAGCCCTTCTTCTCCTAGGTTGAGTTTTTTTAGGATGACAGGAGTACTTCATATGTCTTGTAAAGTACAGATCTAATACTGCAAATTTGTTCTTTTGTATTAGGCTTGTCTTTTAAGAGACGGGAGAATTACGGTGCTAGAAATGCTTCTAGCACAGAAACGTCAGTCCATTAATTTCACACAAAAATATTTGTCCCTTTTCATGGAGACTTCACGTTTCACCTACTTTTTATCGGGCCGATGAAATATTCGCGTATCTAATCGTAGTTGGTCCTAGGAGTAGTTTAGATCAACATACGCCCCGAATTCTCCAAAATCAGAAAATGGAGTTATCCAACTTTTCCATATTCTTCAGAATCTTCGGCTTCACGAATAGACATTTAAGGGTAATAAAGTAATATGAAGTTCTAATAACAGTGGCTAAATTTTCACCTAATGCCTTGCGTTTTCTTTCTATTTTGCTACATAGAAGTCATTTATCTTTTCTGAATAAGTTTGATAGGTGAGCCCCAACGGAACAAGTGTGCTGACTCACTTCTTGTTATTGTGATAGCTAGGCACCATATAAAGTGTTGCCCTTAACGAGAGCTCAACTTCATCACATAGTGACATAGACAGTGACTCCTTGTTTTATGCATATCCTTTTAAGTAAGGACTGCCTACTTATATCGTTTTAGAAAAAAAAAAAGCACCTCTGAAATCATGCAAAATTTTGACAATCCCACCTCCTCCTCTCTTCTCGTTCACGCCACCACAATTGCCAAGCGCCTCATCGATCCTCTGCATGCCTCCCCCCACCGCCACTGCAACAACGCTGCCACCTACAAGGCCTATTGGATCCTAAAGCCTAAGGTCGGAAATTTGTAAATTTTGGTCCTATTTTTTACTATGTCGTCTAAAATTTAGACTTTTTGTTAGGGCCTGTTTAGTTCGCGAAATGAAAGTTTTTGGGTGTCACATCGAACGTTTGGCTGGATGTCGGAAGGGGTTTTTGGACACGAATAAAAAAACTAATTTCATAACTCGCCTGTAAACCACGAGACGAATCTTTTGAGCCTAATTAATCCGTCATTAGCACATGTGGGTTACTGTAACAATTATGGCTAATCATGGACTAATTATGCTCAAAAGATTCGTCTCGTGATTTCCCCCCTAACTGTACAATTAGTTTATCTTTTAATCTATATTTAATGCTCTATGCATGTATCTAAAATTTGATATGATGTTTTTGGGAAAAAATTTTGGGAACTAAACGGGGCCTAATAGTTGCACCATTAGACAGCTACAATTAACATAAAGAACTATATTTTCCTAAAGCTCTTGGCTATGCATGTGAGATATATACATATATATATATACATATATATAGATATATATACATATATATATATATACATATATACATATATACATATACATATATACATATATATATATAGGTAAATTAACTGGTGCTACATGGAGTATGGGCTCCAAGATTCAAATTGAGTATATACCTAATTTGAATGAGTATGAATTTTTTTTAAAATGTTTAGGTATGAACATTAACTTCTTTACTAACAAGTTCAAACTGAGTTTAAACTTTTTTTTGTTAGATTTTGGTTCTAGGTATATAACATCCAAATATATAATTCGCTAGGTATGTAATAATGAATTGTGAAATAAAGTTGAGTTTGAGTTATTTTGTTGTTAGGTATTGGTATGAATCAAATTCATATACCTAGGTATATACTCACAATTTAATTTTTCTAAAAATTTGAGAGATTTTGTGTGTTTTATACCTTGGAGCCCAGGCACCATGGAGTCCCATATGGGTATCCTATATGTGTGTGTGACTATATGAGTAAAATATTTCTCCTTCTATCTGGCGCACGTGCCTTCCCAGAATCCCAACACACACTACTTTTTGTCACACGAAAGTTTTCATTAAAAAAACATTTTCAATATTTTTTCTGAAAAATGTTTTTCTGATGAAAGTCTTTCGGAGGGAAATTTTTTAGATGAATATTTTTCAATGAAAGCATAAATAGAAAATGTGCGCTGAAAATACTGTGCCAAATAGCAATATCGTCAAACAAGACCATATTTTTTTTTTGCCGAAACCTTAGCCTTTGTGAAGGAGGTCAGTTTCATATAGGAATTGAGGTGGTTGTACCAACCTAGCTAGCACAGACAAGTCCTCTCTCTAATAAAACTCCTTTTTTCCTCTTCCACAGGAGTCGCATCGATAGCTATCCAAAGTAAATAGGAGTACCGGCCTGTAGCCATCCTGATGTGGCGAAAAAGAAGAAGTAAACGTTCGTACTCAATCCAATTTATTAGTTTGTCCCCAGTTAATAAGACATCTTAGGATTGATTCGACACACAGCAGATCGATACTTCGATTAATCTTACACCCTCCATACCATAAAAAATAAATCTATAATTAGATGGGACATATTCTAATATTATAAATCTGGATACATATATATTTATTCGTAGCACTAGAATGTATCACATTGATATTAGCTTGATTTTTTATGATACGGAGGGAGTACTCACACAAGTCTTGTATGTCGGTTGAATGCACGCACTGACGCACTGAACTAGGGCACTAAGATCGGAACAACCTTTTGTTGGGAGCATTGTAACACATAAATCAGGCAGGGGTCTTTTACCTGTATAAAAATTAAAAGAGTAAATTTCAGAAAACTGTAATTTTAGTGACAGCAGTATATAACGTAAAAGTTACAGTTTTATGATAATTTACCACGCTATTGTTGTAGCAAACTGAAATATATCGTTAATGTTGCAGTAAACTAATAGTTTTATCACTAAATTGCAGTTTTCTGATATTTACTCAAATTAAAAAGAAGTATATATCATGTTGCTATATAGAGTGAAGCTTTACTTCTTACTAGCTATTAATATATATATATATATATATATATATATATATATATATATATATATATATATCCATAAGTTAAAACTGGTTAGATCCATACAATTGAGGGTACGTTACAAGGATTATTGAGAATAAAACATTGGACCTAGTAATTACTCATGCAAAGCGTATGGAATACATTGCAACACTGGGATGTGAGGAGATCTGCAGTAGTAGAGGTATAAGGGTGAACAAGGGTAAGACATGCATGCCACCATCTAAAATAGATGGCATGTTGAAATTTCAATATGTAGACGAAAGGAAAAGAGAGAAAAGAATGTTGTTGTGTTAGTTAGTTAATTAATTAACACGGTTCTAATAGACTGCGTACTACCATCTATATTATAATTTTACATTATCTATATATTGTACTTATTTAAATCTATTTGAAATAAGGTACATGGGTAATGGGTTGTCTATATGTTATATATATGGATGTGATGTACAAATAGTTTATAGATACAAGTCATCTATGTTCCTGTACTAACTAGTGAAAAATGAACAATATCATTTTCCATTGATAACAAGTCAAAATATAGATTTAGTTAGTATTTAAAACTTACTTGACTGTTTGTGTCACTTAGATCCCTATACTTTCGAACTTGACCTTTGAAGGCAAAATTAAGTTCAATTTTTAGAATTACTATTTTTTGTCAAAAGAAATTCAGGTGGATAACTTGTGATTCGTAGACCGTGCGATGTGCTTTAAGATCCATGCCAGTAGAAAGTAAAAATGTTTTCCTCACAAGCGGAGCGGAGGATCGAACCCGTGCTAGAGAGTTTTATCTCATATGTGCGTAAGTTACATACATCATAATTATATTATAGTTATATTTGAAAGTTTTTTTTACCAAAAATATAGAGTTATATAGGTTCTCCTTTTAATGTTTTAAAAAAGGAAAAGTAATTTTACGATAATAATTTATAATAATCAATACGATATTGTTATTCTTTATATGAAGCTGGCTAGCTTGCTGCGGTTAGTTGGATGCAGATCGATGAGTCGCTGCACTATTAATTTCGTCTACTGTAGCTTGATGGAGAGCCTTTGTTGAGAATATAGGCATATAATGATTTAATATATTCCATAAATAAATCATGACATTACAGATGTATACTAGCATTAACGTATCATTAGATCTACACATGTAAACTAAGCAATAAAACATGAACAGATCAAATATGCACAACATGTCGAACACGTACCGAGGTGTCGGAAAGACCTGCTCTCCCGATCGCCGGTGCACGCTGGCGAGTGGGATGGAGTAGTCCACGAGCGACGGCGCAACACAGAGGAGGAGGCAAACCCTAGATTGATTTCGTGTATTTTGCGTGAAGACAGCGGCTCGGTTTATATAGAGATAGGTCGTTTGATCAGGGCGCCCACACAATCTCCACTCCGCGTAACGAATTTTCCTGCAGCACAACAAAACTGCAAAAAGAGGCTGCATTGCACACGCGCCGCCTGCCCTGCCCTGCCAGGCCAGGCGAGCGCGCGCATGTTCCCCCTCTTCTCTCCACCACACATGCTTCAAGTGGCTAGGAAGGCATCCTCCCTTTTAAGGAGGTCCCCCTCTCCTAGAATAAGCAAGGTGGTACTAAACTCCACATGCATGCTATCCCATGAGGTGGGCTTTTGTGATTTTCCAAAGAATTAATCTTCGAATGGGCCTTAGCCCATCTATTAATTCCAACAATCCCCCACCAAATCTCAAAATCCC